GTAAAGGGCTGGATAAATACGCAAACACACAACGTAAACAGACAAACAGATGAATAATCGAATGCAGAGAGGTTCTGACAAGACGGGAAGCAAAAAGCGACAAAGCTTTCGGGGGAAATACAAAAGAAAATGCTGCAGATATGTGCGGATGTGTCGATAACAAAGGCACTTCCTGGTTCGGATCAGTTGAGTCGTTACCGCCGTCCATGTTGGCAAAGATGAACACGATTTTTCTTTTTTGGTGTACAGAATTTAATGTGTTTGTGTGTCGCTCTAAATCACAACCGCGGTCGTCTCGGAGGATTTTACAAAGTTGTGGATTCACCGGCAACACATCGGAGAATCAAGCACACACTGGAGCCGTTCGCCGAGTTGCTGCTAACACAAAAAGCACAGTCTGGAAGTGGTAAACGAGGGACCAAACTAATGTTTACTGTCTACACTGGAAAAAGTCCCAAAAAACATACATATTAAAATAAAGAAAATACTGCTTAAAATACTAAAAATGAAGAGAATGAAGAAAATAAGCTTTGACGAGATTTCTGAAAATAAAAATAAATAAATAAAATAATACTAGCCCCAAATGACTTTAAAAACATACTTTTCAACTACTATTTATTAAACATGTCGAGATTTTTTTTCTTAAAGTAGAGCACCACATACTTTTTTTATCTAAACAAGGGCAAGAGCTCTGGTTTGTGTCCTGGTGCACACTGGGGTAGTCTTGCACAGTTTTTCCAATGTGGTTTTACTGCAAATGGCAAATAAATGAATCTGAATCTGAATCTGAAGGAGAAAAGTTGTCTGAAAACAAAAATACTTAAAACAAGCTCAAAAACTCAATACTCAGACTTTTTTCACTTATAAGATTATGAAGTACTTCAAAACTATTATAATAATTTTACATGAGAAACTATATTTAAGCAAAAAAAAACTTTCCATTAAAAAATAAGCATCATTTGTGGGTTATTTTTGTAAATAAATCTTACGAAGATTTTACTTTTTCGGTGTTTGAACCCGACGCTGGACTCGGAAAGAGGCTGCGTGCCCTGATTGGCTGTTTCAGCTTCTCTCAGGATAAACGAAAAATTGGCTTGACATTTGATGATTCCTTTTGATGCAGGAAATGAAAAAAAAAAAAAATTGATTAATGGTTTCCAGTTGATTTGATTTTGTTTTTTTTTTGGATTTGGCACAACAGGAAGTTGGCTGTGCACCCATATTTTTGTCCGGTTGGAAACAGCCGTATGGTGATGTATGTGGTGTTTTTAGCATAACGTATGTGCCTCTGTAAACCTCCAGATCTCGCCACCGGCCCATTTCTTTATGAGCCGACGACATTAGCGCCTACCGTTGTTTCCAACTGGAGAATAATGTGGGTGCACAGCCAACTTCCGGTTGCGCCAAATAAAAATAAAAAAATCTTTCAAACCATTAATCAATATTATGTTTTTTCATTTTCTTCATTGAAACGAATCTTCAAATATCAAGCCAATATTTCCTTTTTCCTTTTCCTCATCAAAATAAAAAAAATGAAAACAAAATAAAAAATGAAAATGAATGCCATTTTAAGATATTTAATTTTAAGATATTTCAAACCATCGAACGGAAAATACACAGACCCACAAGGAATTCAAATCATAAATAATCCCAGTACATTAACAAGACAGATAAAACATATAAAATCCCTCGGTTGTATACACAGCTAAAGAGAACAGTTTTAAACCTGGATTTAAACATGGTCAGTGAACATTAAAGTCTGTTCTCTGAGCCACAGAAAAGCCAGACCCCTGACTAATGCGATCGTTCTTCCTGGTTCTAGTCAGGGCTGGAGTTGAGTTCATTTGAATCTACCGCAGCTTTTTGGAGAGAGCCCAGTGAGCCGGCCGCCAGAGCAGTCTATTGTTGGGCCTTTGGAACAACAGTTTGTGTATAGATAATAAAGTACGGCACCGTGGAAAAGCCGAAACGATGGGATACGCACCAGAAACCTCACTCTTTGAATCCACCGTCCACCCTTTTCCCCAAAGTCTCTTAAAAACCCTTCTTTTCTGACTCTAGTTCTGCTCGCGGATGTGATAAGCCTTCATTTAACGCTCTCAAAGTACTTCCACCTTCTACATAAACATTACCCTTTCCTGGTCACTCCTAATATGCACTTTTTGGGAGCGTTTTTTCCCGCCGGTGGACCTGGTGGAGCCGTTAATTGCGCCGGCTGCAGATTGCCGCGCGACTTCTGAGTTCACGCGCCGCTGCTTCTCCGTGTGTGCGCGCCGGTTTTATCTGCCGCAGATGGAGCCCACTTCACGGCACCGAGGCCAATTAAGGTGCAGGGATTAAGCAAAAAACACCGGACTCTACATCCAAGGCCTTCGGGCATGGACGAGACAGAGACTTTTGAATTTTTTTTTTCTTTTTTCTTATGCCCAACAGGTAACATACCGAACTAACGTATTGAAATGAAGTGTTCTTAGTGTAGTCCTCATTGTCATTATCGTAATATTCCAAAATTTTGCATTATCTGAAGGCTAAACAAAAATAAACAGCAACACAAAATTAAAATCCACAAATCTAAAACGAAACAGAAAGCAAAAGGTAAAACAATAACAATAATCATACATTTTTTTTAAAGAGACGGAGACTTTGCGAGGACATCGGCTCAGCACTTTGTTATAACCATGATGCAGCTAGGCCAAGGGTGTCCAAACTTTTTAGTAGGAGAGCCCCTTTAGTCACCAGTACTACACCAGTACCAACAACACAGATTGTAAAACTATTTTTTTTGACTGGAATCGGTCTATTTCGAGATGTAAAAGTAGGTTCGACCTGACCATAGCTGTGGCCACAGAAGTAGTTTATCACCACCGTGTTTAAAGTGAGAGAATAAAGACATCTGAATCCTTTGAATGTCCAAAAAGAGCTAAAACCAATGCATTATTACTGTTATTATTTTTATTGTTTGTCATCCAAATGGTACTTTGGGTTACAACGTGGAGGGCCACATAGGAGGACGCAGCGGGACGCGATCGGCGCTCTCGCCTGGGTTTGGTCATGCCTGAGCTTAAATTGTCGTCTTTGATTTTTTGAAAAGCGATCTATAAAACCAATGTATTATTATTATTTTTTACAATTATTTTATTATCTGGAGGTTGCACGCTGTCTCTGTGTCTGTGTAGGTGTCCTCCTGGTGCTCCGGTTTCCCCTACCACTAAAAACATGCACTATAGTCCCCCATAACACCCACAACTCACTACCACGGAGAGCTCTCCGGGGCCAAATATATATATAATTAGCGGGGATAACATCGGTAACTGTCTTAGCAACACGTCTGCCCCTGTTACGCCACGGGCAAAAATCACCTGCAAGAAAATTGGCTCGTGCTAGCTTATGCTCAAACCGGCCTCTTCCGCATTATGGCTACACCGTGGTGATGTCACACTCTCATACACCCTCTATGGATCTTCCCGGTCAAAACTACAAATCCTAATATTATCGAGTGAAATCACAGCTCCGAGATGAAACCGACAGGAGTATTATTTGACTTCCCTGCTCACACGATCACAAACTCGAAGATCCCGATTTGAGGAAAGGTCACGGGAATCTTACTGATGCTAATGGGCTCTAATGCGAGCTCTCAAAACACACGTCTCGGTTGCATTTACATGTGGCGGCTGCGCTCCTCTCCTTTAAGACGGAGACATCCCCAAGGTGCTTTCACTCTGTTCTTTTATTAATGACAGGGCTTCGTCTGTGACCGCGGCCCTTTGATGAATCATTATCTCAGGGAAAATCATCACGACCGTTTGCATTAGGATTGGGGGGGGACGCCGGTGTTGTGGCGAGCCTCCCGTCCGCCGGGGGCTTCTGTCGGATTCGTTAGTAGAGATCAAACCCGCGTGGTAAAAGGAGAGATTAGAACCGTCAAAAACATACTGTACCTGCAGATGTTCTGTGCACCGATCTCGTGTCTGACATCACCTAGTTCAGTCCTGGATCTACAGCCTCAGTCCTGGATCTACAGTCTCAGTCCTGGATCTACAGCCTCAGTCCTGGATCTACAGCCTCAGTCTTGGATCTACAGCCTCAGTCCTGGATCTACAGCCTCAGTCCTGGATCTACAGCCTCAGTCCTGGGTCTACAGCCTCAGTCCTGGATCTACAGCCTCAGTCCTGGGTCTACAGCCTCAGTCCTGGATCTACAACCTCAGTCCTGGATCTACAGCCTCAGTCCTGGATCTACAGCCTCAGTCCTGGATCTACAGCCTCAGTCCTGGATCTACAGCCTCAGTCCTGGGTCAGTTTGTAACAGAAAAAGTGTGCTGATTGCAGCGTTGAAATAGTTACTAAGTAATAGTTAATGATGAAAAAAGTTCATAACTAAGGAACTTTTTATTGCAAAAGTCCAACTTTATTATCAAATACACAGATGAGTGTGTTCACAGTAAAGTGTCAATTAAAGTATCTGGACTTAAAAGGTTATTACTCAACAACAAAAATTACTACCATAGATTAGAAAAAAAGATTTCAAACACAGACACATAGAAGAGATAGTGTGGATCCAATCAGAAGGAAACGATGACAAATATATTTTTGGCAACATTTTAAACGACAACATTATCCTCTGATTTGACCATTCTACTGTGATGCTGGTTGCAAAGAAAATAAATTGTCCTCAGTCTAAAAAAAGCGGCAGATGAAATCCCACAAGATTTACATTGTTAACACAACATAAGTTCAACATAAGTGTTATTTCTCCGACTGCGACGCTAACTGCTGCTTTAGCATTAGCCCAGGTTGGCCAAGTGATCCGTAACAATTGTCGGCGGCAAATAAATCCCCGCGAACAAGACACGGATGAGGGCAGGGTGCGCGTTACGGCCCCACGTAAACAACGTCTCCCCCCCTCCTCGATCGGCGAAGGGCACATATATCGCGGCGCTTCATAACTAGCCGCTAACGTTTCCGCAGTTCACAGAGTTATGACTGTAGTGTTGTTTGTTAATGTCAGCGGCAGTGTGTGCGGGGGGGTCGGGGGCGTTTAGGGGACACGTGCAGCGCGAGATACCTGGGGCCCCCGCGGTGCAGCCGGGGTTGGGGAGGGCTGCGGCGGGGGCGGGGGGGTGGTCGATTAGTGGAGCGAGAGCATCGGGAAAAGCACCCCCCGGCGCCGCACGACAAATGAGGAACGACAGCTTTGCATGGCCCAGAGACACGAGTGCATCTGCGAGTCACACATCCTACTGCCTGATGAGGCTCTACTGCCTTGAGGGTCTTACTTACTGCCTGATGAGGCTCTACTGCCTGATGAGGGTCTTACTTACTGCCTGATGAGGGTCTTACTTACTGCCTGATGAGGGTCTATTGCCTGAAGAGGGTTATACTGCCTCTCTGGTCTCTCTATGGTCTCTCTCTGGTCTCTCTCTGGTCTCTCTCTGGCCTCTCTCTGGTCTCTCTCTCTGGTCTCTCTCTGGTCTCTCTCTGGCCTCTCTCTGGTCTCTCTCTGGTCTCTCTCTGGCCTCTCTCTGGTCTCTCTCTGGTCTCTCTCTGGTCTCTCGGTGGTTTCTCTCTGGCCTCTCTCTGGTCTCTCTCTGGTCTCTCTCTGGTCTCTCTCTGGCCTCTCTCTGGTCTCTCTCTCTGGTCTCTCGGTGGTTTCTCTCTGGCCTCTCTCTGGTCTCTCTCTGGTCTCTCTCTGGCCTCTCTCTGGTCTCTCTCTGGTCTCTCTCTGGTCTCTCGGTGGTTTCTCTCTGGCCTCTCTCTGGTCTCTCTCTGGTCTCTCTCTGGTCTCTCTCTGGCCTCTCTCTGGTCTCTCTCTGGTCTCTCTCTGGTCTCTCCCTGGTCTCTCTCTGGCCTCTCTCTGGTCTCTCTCTGGTCTCTCCTCTGGTCTCTCTCTGGCCTCTCTCTGGTCTCTCTCTCTGGCCTCTCTCTGGTCTCTCTCTGGTCTCTCTCTGGTCTCTCTCTGGTCTCTCTCTGGCCTCTCTCTGGTCTCTCTCTCTGGTCTCTCGGTGGTCTCTCTCTGGTCTCTTTGGCCTCTCTCTGGTCTCTCTCTGGCCTCCCTCTGGTCTCTCTCTGGTCTCTTTTTGGTCTCTTTCTGGTCTCTCTCTAGTATTACTCTGGTCTCTCTCTGGTCTCTCTCTGGTCTCTCTCTGGTCTCTCTCGGGTCTCTCTCTGGTCTCCCTCTGGTCTCTCTCTGGTCTCTCTCTCTGGTCTCTCTCACATCAGTCGTGAGTCCAGGAGGTTAGAAAAGTGCATACAGTGTGAGGGGTTTTACAGCCTTAAAACATACAGCTGCAACTTCAAGGCTTTAACTTATCGCGGGTTATTTTTAGAACACATCACCCCTGCACTAAACCCGGAACCACCGAACACAAAAAGTTGACTACTCCAGCTTTTCCAAATCAAAATGGTGGCATCATATTCATTACTGGGGATGTACGTCGTCACGCCTCCTTAAACGCGTTTGCTGTGTGTGATCTGAACCTGCAATATCCGCTTGCGGTTTTAAAGTGCGTTATGAGCGCAGGCCGTACAGTGAGTTTATTGTTGAATATTAAAGTCTCTTATAGCAGCGTTTTTAAGTTAATGTCTGGATCCATAGAAGCAGCAACACAAAGTCCACAGACAAAAGGCATTTAAACATACAGATTGTGAAAAATTAAGTTATTTCTGCCCAAAACCGATTGAGGGAAAGCACTTTATGAAAGCAGAGAGAATTTTTTTATTTTAAATTTGTGTGTGTTGTGCATGTGTTTTACAAATAACTGAAACCAGGCCGGTCGAGCAAACGCACACATTTTTAGTGTAAGAGCTTTGAGGGAATAATAATATTTACATTCACTGTAGTCTATAGTCTCCCACTTCACAGATTTGTTCTTCTTCTCTGCTTCCTTCCAATAAACGAAACACAACAGTGAGTCATTTTGTGTTGTCTGAAAAAACGCCGGGCTTTAAACACACACACACTCACTCAACACACACACACACACACTTGTTTCTACCGCACACAGGCTGTAATATCTTTGCATCAGCTCCAGATGTGAGTCAATATGAAGTAGTATTTACTGTAGTAGTTGTCATAGTAGCAGTAGTAGTAGGAGTAATAGTAGTAGCAGTAGTGGTAAAAGTAGTAATAATAGCAGTAAAGGTATCAGTAGTAGTGGTAGTAGTAGTCATAGTAGCAGGAGTACAGTAGTAGTATTAGCACTAGTAGTAGCAGTAGCAGTACTAGTAATAGTAGCAGGTGTAGTAGTAATAGTAGTCGCAGTAGTAGTATTAGCAGTAGTAGTAGCAGTAGTGGTAGTAGTAATAGTAGTAATAGTAGCAGTAGTAGTAATAGTGGGAGTAGTAGTAAAAATAGTAGTAATAGTAATAGTAGTAGTAGGAGAAGCAGTAGTAGTAATAGTAGCAGTAGTGGTAAAAGTATGTTTTTTATATCTCACTGTTGTCATGTTTGTCATTTTTGTTTTTAAACGTCTCATACTCTTTCCAGTTTTTCTAAACGTGACTTACGTTTTAATTGAACTTATTTCAGCATAAAAACCTCGGTCACATCTGAATCCTAAACTCTGCACATTCTCCTCACAGGTCACAGGTCACAGGTCACGCGCCCGTCTGCGGCGAGGTGAACTTTCCCTCCCATTATGCTCAGGCCGCCGACAATATGCTATCCATCTGCTAGCATCTGTGCACTGTCCCACCCCCCACCGTACCCAGCCACCTCACCGGGACCCCCCCTTACTACCCCCCTCCCTACAAACACACGTCCCACCATGGCCTGGAGCACGCACGCCGGCGGACAGGAGCTAAGCAGGTCACACGTTGTCTTTCTGGGTCAGGCCTGCGGCGTTGGATCCTTGGAAAGAGTGTGTTTTCAGGCATCAAGCAATAATCCACACTTTAGGACTAGTGATTTTTGTGATTATTGATAGTAACTTTTAGGACAATTTATTTATTAATTTTTCTGCTTTTTTGAAAAAAAAAATTCTGCTTCTGGACACCTGGATTTCACCGGCACGGATAAAAAAAAGTATCTATAAATATCTATATGTCTATCTCTATCTATCTGTCTATGTATCAGTATAGTATAGTAGCAATTTCTGTAGTAGTAGTAGTAGTAGCAGTAGTTGTAGTAGTAGTATTAGTAGTAGTAGCAGTAGTTGTAGTAGTAGTATTAGTAGCAGTAGTATTAAAAGCAGTAGTGGTAGTATTAGTATTAGTAAAAGTAGCAGTAGTAGTAATAGTAGCCTCTGTTATGCTAAAGTTTTTAAGCTAAAGTTTGCCTCAAATATTTTATACTTTATTCTAGTTTATACTTTTTTTTAGTAAAGTTAAAGATTTTATTTCGTATATAGTTATTGTTAATGTATTTTTTTTTCTTTTCATCTTTTTGGAATCCAAACTATACTCAGCATTATCATCACATCACGGTTTGAGCGGGATGTCTTCAGACTCGCCAGCGCTCCCAGCTTCCGTGATTGCTGATTGGCTCTTGGGAGCAGGAGGTAGAAGCGGCGCCCGGAGCAGGAGTGACATATGTGTGCGGCATATGTCCGACGCCAGAGGAGAGAAACCCCCCGTGTCTGGGAGCTCAGGTAGAAAGAGGTCTGAGAACCACAAACGGTTTGGACTGTCCCAGCAGAGAGAGAGAGAGAGAGAGAGAGAGAGAGAGAGAGAGAGAGAGAGAGAGAGAGAGAGAGACCAGAGAGAGAGAGACCAGAGAGAGACCAGAGAGAGCAGAGAGAGAGAGAAAGGCCAGAGAGAGACCAGAGAGAGCAGAGAGAGAGAGAAAGGCCAGAGAGAGACCAGAGAGAGCAGAGAGAGAGAGAGAGAGAGCAGAGAGAGAGAGAGAAAGGCCAGAGAGAGACCAGAGAGAGAGAGAAAAGGCCAGAGCGAGAGAGAACAGAGAGAGAGAGAGCAGAGCTAAGGAGAGAGAGAGAGAAAGGCCAGAGAGAGACCAGAGAGAGCAGAGAGAGAGACAGAGATCAGAGAGAGAGAGAACAGAGAGAGAGAGAACAGAGAGAGAGAGAGCAGAGACAGAGAGAGAGAGAGAGAGAACAGAGAGAGAGAGAACAGAGAGAGAGAGAACAGAGAGAGAGAGAGCAGAGATAGAGAGAGAGAGCAGAGATAGAGAGAGAGAGCAGAGAAAGAGAGAGCAGAGAGAGAAAGAGTAGAGAGAGAGAGAAAGTCCAGACCAGGGAGATAGACTAGATCAAGACCAGGGAGATAGACTAGATCGAGACCAGGGAGATAGACTAGATCGAGACCAGGGAGATAGACTAGATCGAGACCAGGGAGATAGACTAGATCGAGACCAGGGAGATAGACTAGATCGAGACCAGGGAGATAGATCAGAGAGAGCCACAAAACTCTCCCAGCAACTCTCATACATTCGCACAAATATATGATAAAGCCCCAACCACTCCATTAGGATTAGTCCGCGGCACAGATTTCCCTGCACCGCCTCTGAAGATGAGAGCTATCCGTGGAAAAGGAAAAAAAAAAAAATGGAAAAGTAAAGTTTGTTGTATTAGGAATTCATCAGCTGAAGTCGGAGGAGTCAGAAGTTCTCAGGGCAGAGGGTCGAGGATGATATGAAATTCAGAACGCAAGGGTAATTTGGCCTCGGATGGATCTGACAGTGGATGTAACTGAAGACGACGTATTTTCACAAACACAAACTCAACCGGTTCTTAATGATGGAAACACACGGAGGTTTGGAAGGTCTCGGGCGTCGGGCAAAACTAAAATCTCTCGGTTCACTTCGATTGGCTCCAACTGGGCTTCGTTTTCCACACGTCAGGTAAATAAGCCGTGATTGGTTCGAGACCTCGGCTTCTTCTTCTTCTTCTTCTTCGCGAATGCCCTGAAGCGGTAGCATTTTTTTTTTAGCGCTTGTCTTCCGTATCGCAGTCTTGCTAATTGTTTGCTAGCGGTGGTTTTGCTAGCGTTCGACCCGGCCTTATCTGGGTCGTGCTCGGGTGGAAGACCTGAGCGAAGGGTTGCCGTGGTTGCGGGTTTTTGAGACGACGAAGATATAGTGGTGGTATGATTGTGAAAAAGTTGAAATTTGGATGTCGTTAGCGTTATTTTGACGAGTTTGGGAAGGTCATCTGCTCTCCCGGTTGTGTTGTATGAACCAGAAAGCCTGTAATGGTATCTCTGTGTGTATTTAAAGCCAGGGTCTTTAACTTTGACTCTATTCATGATACACTGTGTTTGTCCCGAAAGAAAGAGTTGTGAATGTATGAATCAGACTATTGATTCCTTGGGCAGAGAGCAACTTGGCCGAGACCAAAGAGAGAAACCAGAGAGAGACCAGAGAGAGACCAGAGAGAGACCAGAGAGAGACCAGAGAGAGCAGAGAGAGACCAAAGAGAGAGACCAGAGAGAGCAGAGAGAGACCAAAAAGAGAGACCAGAGAGAAACCAGAGAGAGACCAGAGAGAGCAGAGAGAGACCAAAGAGAGAGACCAGAGTGAGAGCAGAGAGAAACCAAAGAGAGAGACCGGAGAGAGGCCGGAGAGATACAAGAGAGAGACTAGAGAGAGCAGAGAGAGACTAAAGAGAGACACCAGAGGGAGAGCAGAGAGAGACCAGAGAGAGACCAGAGAGAGACTGGAGAGAGACCGGAGAGAAACTAAAGAGGGATCAGAAAGAGAGACCAGAGAGAGAATAAAGAGAGAGACCAGAGAAAGTCCAGAGAGAGACAAAAAAGAGATCAGAAAGAGAGACCAGAGAAACAAGAGAGAGACTAAAGAGAGAGAAAAGAGAGAGACCAGAGATATACTAAAGAGAGACTAAACAGTTTGCACTGTTTGTATTTGTATATAACCTGTATAGTGTAGTGACTGTGTCCTACTTTGTATTTTATTGCACTGACCGTAATGTTTTATTGTTTTATTGTCTTAGGGAGACTTTTTACATCTGTCCAGGGACTACGGATGAAAAATAGCCTTTTGGCTAATTCCGGTGCATTTACAGAAATGTTGATTAATGTACACTGTCCCTGTCAAATAAATAAATAAATAAATAAATAAAGAGAGAGGCCAATGAGAGACCAGAAAACGGGTCCAGAGAGAGACTAAAGAGAGACCACAAAGAGAGACAAGAGAGAGACCAGAGAGAGACTAAAGAGAGACCACAAAGAGAGACCAGAGAGAGACCAGAGAGAGACCAGAGAGAGACTAAAGAGAAACCAGAGAGAGACCAAGGGACACCATGAAAGAATAAGCTGATCTAAAAATGGGACCAGGAGCGAGATGAGTGTCGTGACATATTCCCATTGTTTTGTGGTGTGAATGTTAGGTACCCCAGCTTTAAATGTAACATAAGTGACAGTGTTTTCTTAAAAAACTAAAAATAAAAACCTCAAATCTGATACTAGTGAGTGACAAGGAATACCATCTGTCGCCCGCTTTCAATCTGTTTTCATGGATATTTTGGATCCTTGTTGCCAGATTGAAGACGGCTAAAAGATAAACAGAAGGAATTGTGGCCAAAATATTTCTGTCTTTTGTCTGTCTTGGTGTATATTATGAACTTAAAGCTGGGGTACGTAACTTCTGTAGTTGTGGCAAAGTCTTGAGGGTGGGTCGCTTTTTTACTTTTACTTCGCAGGGGTGATGTGTTCTAAAAATAACCCACCATGTGTGACATCCTTGAAGTTGCAGCTTTAAGTTTTAAAACCCTTCAGCGGAAAGAGAGAGACCAGAGAGAGAGAGAGCTGGGAGAGAGATCCGGAAAGACCAGAGAAAGAGAGATACCAGAGATAGAGCAGAGAGAAAGAGCAGAGAGAGAGAGACTAGAGAGAGAGACTAGAGAGTGACCAGAGAGAGACCAGAGAGAGAGACAAGAGAGTGACCAAAGAGAGAGACCAGAGAGAGACCAGAGAGAGACTAGAGAGTGACCAGAGAGAGAGCAGAGAGAGAGACTAGAGAGTGACCAGAGAGAGAGAGAGCAGAGAGAGAGACTAGAGAGTGTCCAGAAAGAGACCAGAGAGAGAGACAGAGAGAGTGACCAGAGAGAGACCAGAGAGAGACCAGAGAGAGACCAGAGAGAGAGACTAGAGAGTGACCAGAGAGAGAGACCAGAGAGAGACCAGAGAGAGAGACCAAAGAGAGGGACTAGAGAGAGTCCTGAGAGAGATCAGAGACAGAGACCAGAGAGAGAGACTAGAGAGTGACCAGAGAGGGAGAGCAGAGAGAGAGACCAGGAAGAACCAGAGAGAGAAGTCAGAGGGAGACCAGAGAGAGAGACCAGAAAGAAAGACCAGGAGAGATCAGAGAAAGAGACCAGAGAGAGTACGTAGTGATCAGAGAGAGAAACCAGAGAGAGAGACCAGGAAAGACCAGGGAGAGACACCAGAAAGAGAGACCAGAGAGAGACCAGAGAGAGAGACCAGAGAGAGAGAGAGCCCCAACCCAAAAGTTCCCGTCTCACCTTAAATCAAAGTATCTCATGATGATGGATTATTATTAGTTACATTTTGTCCACGGTTTTAAAGTTAGACCCTCCAGCTTTAAACAAACCTACTTGAACTTTTAAGTGCCCTCAAACTGACGCTCACCCCTCTTCCTCCCTCCTCCCCTCCTCTTCCTCACCCCCCCCCCTCCCTCCGAGCCCCATTCAGATGTACAGGTTGTTTTGGTGGATAAAGTGCCCGTCTTTGATCAGCTTTAATTAGACAGCCCCTGCCTTCTTTCTCTACCTTTTTTCTCTTTTCTTTTTTTGATTTCTCTGGGTTTTGCACGAGCTCGGGCGATGAGAGAACGCCGGGGCCTAATCTGCCGGGGCCGGGGTAGCCAGCCAAGGATGGTGGGATCCTGAAGGGGGCCCCTCAAAGGCATCTAAGGTGAGGAGAATGTGTGATGAAAGGCCCGATCAATAGCTCCTTTTGCCTATAGGGATAAAGGCGTGGAAACTCAAAGGGACGTTTTGCATAAAGATCCAAACAAAGGCACTTTTTCTGATTTTGCCACGGCTTTATTCTTCACCCTCTGCTCCGCTTTGCCTTTCTTTAACTTTTCTCTCCTGGAAAAATGGGGGGAACTTAATGAAGCTCGCTGTTTAGATGAGAAGACAGGAGGGGTTTTTGTGTGTGTTTTATTCTTACGGCCTTTTCGGAAACCAATGCAAGTGGTAATGGGAAATACTGGGGTAGTTGAGTAGAGAGAGAGAGAGAGAACAGAGAGAGCAGAGAGAGAGAGTAAAGAGAAACTGGAGAGAGAAGCCGAAGGGAGACCAAATAGAGAGACCAAATAGAGACTAGAGAGAGCCTGGAGTGACCAGAGAGGGAGAGTAAAGAGAGACAAGAGAGAGACTAAAGCGAGAGAACAGAGAGGGAGAAAAAGACCAAAGCGAGTCTAGAGAAAGAGACCAGAAAGAGAGAGAGAGACCAGAGGCTAAAGAGAGACCAAAGAAAGACTAGAGAGAGAGACCAAAGAGAGACTAGAGCGATAGCAAAGAGAGACTAGGGAGAGACCAACGAGAGACTAGAGAGAGACCAAAGAGAGACCAGAGAGAGACAAGAGAGAAACTAGAGAGAGGCCAGAGAGAGACTAGAGAGAGACCAGAGAGAGACTAGAGAGAGACCAGAGAGAGAGACCAAAGAGAGACCAGAGAGTCCAGAGAGAGACTAGAGAGAGACTAGCGAGAGAGACAAAAGAGAGAACAGAGAGAACACACACTGTGCATGAGAAGTTTTTAAAAGTCTAACATTTTAGAAAAACAAACCAAAAAGCAATGCTAACACCGTGAGAACACATGCCCATTTAAGGAAATTAGCTGCAGCTAGCTTGGATTCAAACCAGCCACTCCTGCATCAAGGCTAACACTAGTGATGTCACATGTATTTCATATATATTTATTTATGTCTTGATAGAGGATCTGTCTCTGATTGGCTGGCCCTGGGGAAAAAAAAAAACAGCTTAAATCCAAGTATTTGAACACACACCAACAAAAACAAAAAAGTTTTGGTAAAAGTATATTTTTGTATAATTTCATAAAAGGCTTGAATTTGATTTGGCTTCGATTCTCTTTAAAAGCCGAGCAATTAAGGACGTTCAACCTCAAGAGAAAAACAAACTAGTGAGATCTGCAGCGTCGCGCTACACGTCGCTAATGCCCACGATATAGATCTAATCTCTATGTATTTGTCCTGTACGCTGCTCACAGACGAACGGAGCGCTGTGATTGGTCGACGGGGAGCTGTACAGTTTGTTTGGGCAGTTCAGCCTAAACACGGGAGATTAGAGCTCGAGGTTCCTCCACTTCACAGACTGTATGAGGGGAGGGGGAGGGTGGGCGGTGGGTGGGGGGTAACTGTATGTATGCTGCATGTAAATCCAAATAGTTAATGTTCCATATGTTCGGTGTATAGTGAGGGAGTGACTGTGTGTGTTTGAGGGTTGTCTTAATACAGTGTCGGACATGCTACTGCTACTGCTACTACTGCTACTACTGTTACTACTGCTGCTACTGCTACTGCTGCTGCTACTGCTGCTACTGCTACTACTGTCACTACTGCTGCTACTGCTACTGCTGCTACTACTGTTACTACTGCTGCTACTGCTACTGCTGCTGCTACTGTTACTACTGCTACTACTACTGCTACTACTGCTACTGCTACTACTACTACTACTACTGCTACTACTGCTACTGCTACTACTACTGCTACTACTGCTACTACTGCTACTGCTACTGCTACTACTACTGCTACTGCTGCTACTACTGCTACGGCTGCTGCTACTACAACTACACTTCTGTCCGACTGAAGATAAAACAAAAGTGAAAACAAATAAAAAGACAACATTTACATTAGTAGTGAATGAAGGTGATGGGAACAGGAGACAGTCTGCTCCTGAAGCTTTCGGGGCCTCACCCCTGAGCAAGAGCCTGGGCCCCACATCTTCAGAGCCTGAGGCCCCAGATTGTGGTGCGTCCTGATAAATGGTGTGGACAGTAATACACAGTGTTGCACTAAAGTGCCGTGTGCTTCATAAGTCTTTGTTTCCTTTCTCACTTTGTTCTTTCTCTGACCTCTTTGTGGAAGCAATTTCCTTTAGATTAAAAAGCAATCAGTCCAATCAGGACAAGAGTAAGCAGAAGAGAAAAAAGCAGTTTAAGGGAAATTTGCAGCACAAGTTGTCGGAGTTACAGGAAGGAGCAATCTGCAGCCGGCATCCATTTCCCTCTTCATTTGTTGAGAACGGCAGCAGTTACTGTGCCTTTGTTGTGCTTTAAAAGCGGAGCTCTGAAGAGACGCAGAGAGAGCTCTTTGGAGAGAGCTCTTTGGAGAGCTACAAAGGCAGCGGACGGCGGGGAAGAAAGAGCCGTGAATGGCACCACTGATAAAGTTGAGCAAATGAAGTCATTGACCTGCGGTGGAGATTAATAGCAAACAAGGTGCCCCAGCTTCACAAGTAATGAATATTCTTCAAACAGCAGGGGGGGAGAGGGAGAGGGGGAGAGGTGGGGGGGGGGGGGGCGCAGCCTGATGTGGATGACATTGAAAGTTGCAGAGAACAGAAAAATTCTGTCATTTTTCATTTGTATGCAAATGTGCCTGTTACACAAATTAACCCCTGAACTCTGGTGTCAGTCCTCATCTGGGGCTCCTGGGGCCCCCTGCTGGGCTCCTGCGGCCGCGCATCCCACCCACTCTGTGCCCAGGGGTCACGGCGCACCACGGGGCCCGGGGACCAGCCAGACCTCATGTGTCCGCCTTTGTTTACTGTGCTCCGTGTGCGAACAGAAGGAGACATGAAAACCTGCACCTGCCACAGTCTGGATCCACTCAGACCAGACTCAGTCCTGCAGGACCGGGACCAGACTCAGTCCTGCAGGACAAGGACCAGACTCAGTCCTCTCACAATAGTCCTGGTCTCAGGTCTCTGCTTCCTGTGACTCAGAGACTTTAAAGCCTCTCTGTTTGTTCCAAGTCTCTCCAGGGCCCCGCACCAAAGTCCATCTGTGACATGTTACTGCAGAATGAACCAACTCTGAGGAGCACAGGGACTGGCCTCCTGCTGGGACTCTGAAGAGCACAGGGACTGGCCTCCTGCTGGGACTCTGAGGAGCACAGGGACTGGCCTGCTGACTGCATTTCAATTCTGTTTTTCTCCTTTTAATGCACTTTGATTATTATCTTTTTTATTATTTGATTGCCTTGTGTTGTTGTATGAACTGTGCTATCCAAATAAACTTGCCTCTCTTCATTAAGAGCCAGATCCCTGTGAGTGTTGACCCGCTCCAGTTTGCTTACAGACAGAACAGGAGTGTGGAGGATGCCATCTCCTTTGCTCTGAACTCTGTCTACAGTCACTTGGACACTAGTAAATCTGTCGCGAGAATGCTTTTCATTGATTATAGCTCTGCTTTTAATTGTCTTGTCCCAAGCATATTGGTTGAAAAACTAATGTGGCTCGGTTTAAGTGTTGCCATGTGTAAATGGATTTTTAGCTTTTTAACTGACAGATCTCAGAGAGTGAAAATCAATGACTGTTTTTCTGATGTTGTTTCTGTGAGCACTGGTTCTCCTCAGGGATGTATTTTGAGTCCTTTGCTTTTTACTTTGTACACTCACGATTGTGTGTCCTCCTCTGACTCAAACATGATCATCAAATATGCTGATGACACCACCATCATCGGTCTCATCAGTAACAATGATGAATCCTCTTATAGAGCAGAGATACAAAATGTGGTTCAGTGGAGTAAAACTAACAACCTCCAGCTGAACACTGCAAAAACATGTGAACTTGTCTTTGACTTCAGTCGCAATAGTTCTCATTTGCCTGTCATAATCGACATCTCCCAGGTGCAGATCGTAGAGGAGTGCAAGTTTCTGGGTTTAACTCTGTCTAACGACCTGAAATGGGTTAAAAACACTGACCGGGTTGTTAAGAAAGTACGTCAGCGGCTTTTCTTTTTGCGGAAACTTAGAGAATTTACCACTAACTCTAAGATTCTGCTTAACTTTTATCGCTGCACCACTGAGAGTTTACTTGTTGGTTCTGTGTCTGTGTGGTTTGGAAACATCACAGATAAAGAAAGGTGCTCCGCTCTGCAAAGAGGACCGTGGGCTGTAAGCTTCCTGTTCTGGAGGTTCTTTATAAATCCAGACTTTTAAACAAAGCTCTTAAAATCATCAATGACTCTTCTGGCCACCCTGGGAAAGCCATGTTCCAGCTTCTTCCCTCTGGCAGAAGATATCGGTCGCTGAGATGCAAGACATCTCGCTATGCTAACAGCTTCTTTCCACAGGCTGTTAGGTGCCTAAACAGAGCATTTTAATTCCTGCTTTTACCCCTTGTATCGTTTTGTTGATCGGTGCCACAGTGTCAGCTGTTTTTTATTCTTTTATATTCAGTGTATGTGTATTTTATATTACATTGTATCGTGCTTTTTATTCTGTCGGTGCACACAGAGTACCTTTTTTTTGCAAATGTATTCCAATGTAGTTTTTATACTGCACATGGCTAATAAAATGAATCTGAATCTGTGCACCTGGTCACATGCTCAGGACCTCGGTGGATGTGTGCGTTCCCAGGTGGGCCAGGACTAGAGTTTCGCTTTTCAGCCCGAGCCCGAGCAGGCCCGAGGCCCGACCTGAGTTCGGGCCGGGCTCGGGCCTCATTTGGCGCTCAGCTGTCGGGTTCGTTCCGGGCTCGGGCTTCTTTTTTTAAATATATGTTTCTTTTTTATTATTATTATAATTATTTTTAAATGATTTTTATACATAATGATATGTATATATATATATATATATATATAATAATAACAATGTCCGTTGATTGACAACAAGTTATTAAAAATAGTTAATATATTAATGACACCGTAACCAGCGTGTCCTACAGCAGCAGCGAGCCATGAACGCATCATCCCCGTATCTCCTGCTGCATGCTGTGGTCAACAGCGAACAGGAACAATAGTAGAAATGGATCAAGTGGAGACAAAACAAATTCAAAACTGGAGACTAAACTTGCAATTGGAAGGTGAGTGCGTACAACGGGAAATCAGATGTGTCGGGTTCTGTCGGGCTCGGGCCTGTTATACAGCGTTCATTGGTCGGGCTTATACGGGCTCGGGCTTAACATTAGCGGGCTCGGGCCGGGTCGGGCTTCATTTTTCAGGCCCGAACGAAACTCTAGCCAGGACTAATAGCGGCTGGAGGCCGGTCCCTGGTCCCTGGCCTCTGTGCCTTTGAGCCTGGCACTCAGCAGCAGCCTGTTGTCTGGAATGTGGCTGCAGGGTTTTCAGATGTGATGTGGTTTGTGCTTTTCTCGAGAGCAAATGAACTGCTGCCAAAAGGAATCGAAAATAAATTAGTTTATAGCTCGGGTGCATAACTTTCAAAACACAAATTTAACTCTTCAATAAAATCTGTTTTTCTACTTCCTGGTTCTAAAACAGTTTGGTTGCTAGTTTTTACGCACATGTCATTTTGGCCTCTGTCACAACTTTAGCTTTAGCTTTCTCCATCAGAAAAGCTCTCAGCCAATCAGCTCTCAGCCAATCAGCTCTCAGCCAATCAGCTCTCAGCCAATCAGCTCTCAGCCAATCAGCTCTCAGCCAATCAGCTCTCAGCCAATCAGCTCTCAGCCAATCAGCTCTCAGCCAGCCAGCTCTCAGCCAATCAGCTCTCTCTCTCGTAGAAGTAAATAAACAATAACACGTTTTCAAAGACAGTACGTTGTGGTCTAACTTTGCTTCATTTTACTAAAATTACAAACCCCGACTTTAATGCCATAACTTTGCACATTCAAGTAATACAACCTACCATTGTGGCGCCCCCTGCAGGTGAAAGCCAGATCTTGTCAAGACTTCTGACGCTGAGCAGGGCAGGGCCTGGTTTAGTTCTATGATGGGAGACCTCTGGGAACAACGTGGTGCCGCAGTGTGGTTGTGTCCTTAAGCAAGACACTTCAGCCACATTAGAATGAGTCTGGTGTGTGTGTGTGTGTTTGTTTTTGTGTGAGTGTGTGTTTGTGGGAGGGGCTGATGGCATATACTGGTTGCCTCGCCCCAGGGCAGTTGTGGCGACAGTGGTAGTTTTTTTATTATTCCCGTAAAAGCGCAGTATAAAACCAATGCATTATTATGATTATTATGTGTGTGTTTATTTATTTATATCAACGGCGGTATTCTTCCTGGTTTTGCCGCAGCAGCTGTGGCGTACCCACCGCTTCCACAGTTCAGCCGATGACATATTGGCTCAAACCAACTCCAAAAAACCTCTAAAATGATCATGTTTTTTGCCGCGCGCACATTCCACCATCTGTTTGCGGACGGTGGCAACGGGCCGCGCTTGACCCCTTTAATTGATGTGATTTTAATTATGGTAATCGCCCGCCACGCTGCCTGTTGTGGCTCCACGGGCCGCGCTGGCGCTCACGGCCACAGGTGTCCCGCAGATGTTTGGCGCCTCTGTTATTTGTCAGCGACCAATCACGTGCCACCTCTGTATTACCACGGCAACGGGCGCTAACATGGCCACACGGGGTCAGAGGAAAACCTGCAAATTCAACATGGCCGCCAGGTTTGGATGGATGAAGGTTTTGGATGGCGTTCTGCGTGGCGTCGGTCGAACGTCCAACAAGCTGAAATGTTCTGAGCGTTCCAGAGACGAGGAAATTATCTTTCAGAGAAACAGGAACGACTTTGTTTTAAATAAAAACTAATAATAAAACATTTATGTTCGAGACAGAAACAAGTTTGAAAAATCTGAACAGAAACTTTGTTCCTTTGTGTTTGTTCAGTACATCCACCTATACCAGCCCTACTCTACTCTACTCTACTCTACTCTACTCTACTCTACTCTACTCTACTCTACTCTACTCTACTCTACTCTACTACTTTCTCTACTCTACTCTACTCTACTCTACTCTACTCTACTTTTCTCTACTCTACTCTACTCTACTCTACTCTACTCTACTTTTCTCTACTCTACTCTACTCTACTCTACTCTACTCTACTCTACTCTACTCTACTCTACTCTACTCTACTCTACTCTACTCTACTCTACTCTACTCTACTCTACTCTACTCTACTTTTCTCTACTCTACTCTACTCTACTCTACTCTACTCTACTTTTCTCTACTCTATTCTACTCTACTCTGCTCTACTCTACTCTACTCTACTCTACTCTACTTTTCTCTACTCTACTCTACTCTACTCTACTCTACTCTACCCTACTCTACTTTTCTCTACTCTACTCTACTCTACTTTACTCTACTCTACTCTACTCTACTCTACTTTACTCTGCTCTACTCTACTCTACTCTACTCTACTCTACTCTATCTACTCTACTTTACTCTACTCTACTCTACTCTACTCTACTCTACTTTAATCTACTCTACTCTACTCTACTCTACTCTACTTTTCTCTACTCTACTCTACTTTACTCTACTCTACTCTACTCTACTCTACTCTACTCTACTCTACTTTTCTCTACTCTACTCTACTCTACTCTACTCTACTCTACTTTTCTCTACTCTACTCTACTCTACTTTTCTCTACTCTACTCTACTCTACTCTACTTTACTCTACTCTACTCTACTTTACTCTACTCTACTCTACTCTGCTCTACTCTACTCTACTCTACTCTACTCTACTTTTCTCTACTCTACTCTACTTTTCTCTACTCGACTCTACTCTACTCTACTTTTCTCTACTCTACTCTACTTTACTCTACTCTACTCTACTCTACTCTACTCTA